GATAATGATACTCGGGCAATCGAATGATCGTATGTACATGATTATTTGTAATATTGTACAGATCATATTCTTAAAACGCGGTTTTACCATTTTCACTAAATTTAGTAATTGTTCTATCTTCTGGGTTGTCTCACATGAAATGATTTAGCTAGATAGCCACTCTAATATGTCTGCCTTCTTCATATTGGAGGAGAAAGCGTACATATTTATTAGTATACCTTATTGCATTCATGCGCATATGTGCTTCAAATGTATAATAAAGTTTCTCCCAAACTCAAAATGTGTCTGTGAATATGACGTGAAATTTCGGCATTTCCGGCAAAAATGTTTCCAATTTCACATCAACAGAAATGCTCAAACGTCACTTTCTCAGAAACCGCTCCTCAATTATTGACGAAAGTATCCATGTAGGACATGTAGGACAGGGGTTTACTCTTCTATTGTATTCTTAGAATAATATTTCAGTTCTGCCGTTAAAAACCCGAAAAACTAAGAAAAAGTGGTTTGACCGGCCGTAGATGGAAACTGGCAAGAGAATAATAATAATAATAATAATAATAATAATAATAATAATAATAATAATAATAAAAATAATAATGTCTTTATTAATGGCGAGGCTCAAGCCATAGGGCCTGCTCTTCCGCCTAACCACTGAATTTACATACATTTAGAGTAGTAACATTTTAAGAGGGGAGGACAAGCTGTACATTTACGTCTGGGAGAACAAACCTAGGGACCATCCCGGCATACGCCTTAAGCTATTGAGTAAACCCAGAAAAACCTCAATCAGGATGGCGGCTTGGGGCCGAACATTCCTGGAACATTCATGGAGAATGGTGCAAGATCGAATAGCTGGCCCAGACCAACGAAATTGGAAAATTGACTAATACGAGAAAGTTTTCTAATTTCTTTGGTCTGGTCTAGATTTGCATCATTTTTTGCACCATTCTCTTCTCAACCGCCATATACTACTAACTAAAATACATTTTTACTTTCTCGAATACGTAGAATAAAGAAAGTTATGTACTGCTGCGAAAAATAGATTTCGAACTTCCTACTACAATACATGTTTAAGGGCCCCCTCATACCGAAAAAGAGGTTGTCTTTTTTTTCAAATTGTCTGCCATTCCGTCTCTCTGTCCGTCCGGCTGTCGTCTGTGAACAACACTAGCGCCTAAACTACACGAAGGATTTTTTTTTAATTGAATAAACCCCTATCGATTTTCCCTCACTCGAAGCTCTAAGTTTTTAAAAATATTCAATAATTTTTTAATGTACTTTACATGAAGCTCTTGTGGCATTTTAAACATTTTCTCAAAATCAAATTCAATTTTTTAATTTTTTTTTAAAAAAATAGAGTGAAATAGAGTATAGCTCCGGTTTTCACTATTGACTCTGCGTTTTCAAAAAATTGTATTTTTTCGCTGTCTTCCTAGAAGTACAAAATTGAAGAGATTTTTCCTTCAAAAGAAAATTTGTTCTCGTTAATTAGTTCTTTCATTAAGGTCATGTCCTTTTTTTGAAAACAAATAGCGGTGTTCGTGCAATATTGAGTGAAATTTGCGCAATAATAATTAATAACAAAAACAAAACATTCTCAAAAACGGCTCCATATTGTTTCTTTAAACTTTTGGTAGGGAAGTGCTCAATGTAGTGTATAAGATGACATAATCGCCATTTTGCTGCATCTTTTTGCTTTTTTCAAAATTTACAAAATAAAGGAATTTTTACTCTCTTACTTACTCTCTTACTCTACTTGGGCAGTAGAGAGAAAGTTATGCGATATAATGCTGCGGGAAAAAGGACAGTTTTCGGGATAAAACTATTTCTGAGCCCCAGTTATGGAAAGTGCATAAAGTTGCTAAATATAGACAAAAACTTCCCCTAACAAGTGGTGTAGCCAGAATTCGGTTTAGAGAGACCTTGACACCGAAATACCGATTGACGGCAAAACGCCTGTCCATCCGTCGATCTGCATATTTGTTTGTTCGACTGCGTGTGAAGTTAGCAGCTAAACCGTTCAGTCGATTTTCTTCAACATTGAAAATCACCTATCGACGTAACGAATGTCACGCCCCCATTGAATTTGAAACTGATATTTTAATTATAGGGTATACTTTATACGAAGCCCCCGGGACAATTTCAAAATTCCCCACAAATGGCTCCACTTTTTAAAAATAAAATGTAATTGGATAGTGTGAAGGACATTTAAGAGAATGATTCTGATCTCATGTTCGTTAAATTCCCTGATTTTTAGAAAATTGCAAAATTAAAATTTGTTCGACGTCTTCCTGCTATTACCCTTGTGAAAATATGTTGTTTTTTTTCTTAATGAAATGTGTTCATTAAAAAATCTTTCTCAACAGTAAGTTTATGGCAATAGAGGAGGGTACAATTTGAATAAAGAAAAACAAAACTTTTACGAGTACAATAATTTCACAACAGTGAAACTATAAGAACCTGACAACTGATAGTTTAAATAACGAAAGTAAAGAAGCAGCTATTATTTGTGGACAAGATTGTCATAGACGCTGCTGTGTCCTTTAATATCTATTTTATAGTTGCATGCCCTATTGCTGATTTTTTTGATATACGAGTACATTTTTGTAGTAATTATCTTTTTCAAATGTTCTTCTTTATCTAAAATTGAGGCATCGTCGAAATTGAAAATGTGTCGGGAATTTATGGTAGCTAGAACACACAATGATAGTTAATTCTTTATATCATTTTTGTGCTGTACAATTATTTTATTTTCCAAGCTTTATTTGGTTTGTCCAATATATAGACGATCACTGATCACAGTCACTACATGGGATATTGTACTCAACGTTTTTCGGCACCATTGTGCTTGCTTTAAATTTTGTTGCTAAATACCAATGTTCCGAGGTTGTTATGATTTTTGTAGGGATATTTTGGTATTATTGTCTAAAGTTTTGTCTAATGGTTACGAATGACCTTTGATTTAAGTGATGGACCTGTCATATTTTTTTATTTATCAGTTAGTTGTTTATATACTATAATTATTGTAATCGTTAGATTTACAGTTGACTAAAATTCTGTTAACTAATTTATAAGGAAATTAATTTTTGATGATTTTTTTTACAGTATCTAGTTTTTTTCGTCAATCGATTTTTCTGTATCGAGGACCCACAAAACATGGATTTTGGCACCACGTGCTATAGGAATTTCTTTTCTATATTTGGCAAGTGTATTTACCCACTTTTACGTTACCAGGGCCCGGCAATAAGAGTTTTTGTGCCGAACATTTTACGTTCACCAGGGCACGATTACAATCCCCTTCCCTTAGTAAGGGCGGGAAAGTAAAAATAGCTATGAAATTGTATACGATAAAATATTTATTGATTATTCATAACTTCAATTATGCTAATTTAATAAACATATTTGTAGGACAAAAATTCCCAGAGACATGATGAAAGCTATGGAATTAAAAAAAAAGAATTTACATAATTTTGGTTTTAAAATATCCACGATGTCGTTATTCGCTCACAAGCTGCCCGAGCGCAGGGCCCTTATTGAATCAACAATGCAACTTCTGTCAATAAATGATTTTTCGACTAAATTTTTTTTTGATTAAAGAGAATTTTCCGCCTATAAAAATGTGCTGCCCAACGGCAAGGACCCACAGTGCGCAAGCCTAAATCCACCTCTGAATGCCACCATGGCACCTGTCACTTTCGATGGTACAGAAAAACTGTCTACACCGGAACCTGTACAAGCCGGAAATCCGCCCTAACGGGAAATTTTTCCTAGCACGCGAAGTTGAATGGTATACACAGCATAAAATGAAATCTATGAAACATGGAAATGGAACTTTTTTTTTTTTTTTTTTTTTTTTTTTTTTTTTTTTTTTTTTTTTTTGCACGTCGTAGAGGGGGAATCTTCATAAACGGAATTTCTCTGAATTTAATGCGATTGGGAGACGCGAGTTGCTCTTAATGTGATGACTGCATCTGTAAGTCTACTTTAAATTCTTTATCCCTCGTCATTTACTTGTGGTAATCTCACCACGGAGGAGAGGGGCTTCAGCTGACAGCGTCGAGTTCGCCCTTGGAGTCACTTGTCTCTCACGGCGAAGACCATAGGGGAATTCTCTCCTCCCCTCAACCCCCTGATCAGGGGAAAGTGCACTGGCAGGACTTCTATTCACGCCACGTTCAAAATCGCAACCCATCGCCCTGAGACACGTTGCTGAAGGACAGACGAGGGATTCTGAAAACTAGAGCACTCTGGACTGTGACATATAGTGCGATGAATTTAAGCTTGTGGTGAAACGCATTGAATAAATTTAAAGTATTGTTTCTTTTGTTTTGGGTATGACTATAATTAAGTCAGACATTAACAGAAATGTTTTCTTTGTGCTAGAGTTTTCAAAGAATTATTTTAGGTTTGAGGAAAGGGAAGGAAATGCCCTTTTATAAAATTGGAAAGGTTCCAGACAGACTATTTTATCGCTAAACTAGCGCTCCCCTCCATTGCGGGATACGTCGACACCATCGAGCGCGTAACTTTTGGTTCATTCCGAACAGCAGACAAGCGCCACGTTTGGCATCAAGGTTTCTATAAGAGGCCGTACTTCATACTTACCCTCGGACACGCTATATGTTTTCTGCGGTAAGTTCATTTGGACCTCTTCCATATTTCGCGCCACTGACATCTCTGTCACGATTATCGCAGCCGTTAGCAACGCACAGTTACCATCGCCTGCTCACATACCAGCTCTAAATCTCCTAACGACGCTAATTTGGCCGCCCCTGCCTCCGCACCTTCGATTCCACCTCCAACCTCACTTCCGTTATCTGCGTCGCTCTTCCAGCCGCAGCCGCTGCTAGGCCCCCGCTGTCACAACTGCCGCAGTCACTTTCAACACTGGCCGTGTTGTGGCGCGGCTGACCCTGCCTGCCGTCGCCGCCTCCCCTTCCCCCGCCGCCGCCGCCGCCG